GAACCCCAGTCTCAGGCTCCTGCTGCTGAGAGGAGGGGTTTGGGCCCAACCCCTGCCCCTTGCGTCCAGGGTGGCAGCAGCTGGGATCAGAGATCAGAGGCTGTGTGGGGCAATGAGGAGAGGTCAGAGTTTCTTCCAGAAGCTGAGTTGCAAGGACTCAGGACGCCAGGGCTCAGGGTCCTGCGGAGGCTGGGATGCTGCTGGAAGGCGGCACCTGAAGAGGGGATTGGAGGCTGGGGGGCAAGCCTTCCTGCCTGGCACAGTGTACAGAGCAGGGGGGCTTTCAGACTTGGCTGGGGAGGGGACTCCAGCATGGCCAAGGTTAGCAGGGTCCCAAAGGGACTGAGCAGGTGAGGAAGAGGCTGGTTGGCAGGCAATCTCCAGCCTCAGGCTCTCCTCTGCTGCCATACTGCACGTGTCCTGTCCCACGACGTCTCCCGCGTCGGTGGATTCCCAGCAATGCCTGTGCCCTCTGCCCCATGTCCTGCCACCCTACAGGGTCGCTGTCCGAGGCGTCAGGGCCTTAGGGATCTAGGTCAGGAGGCAGCTGCAGGCTGGGGCAAGGCCTTGGGGCGGGGTGGGGAGGAGGGCAGGGTCTCTGGACAGGGGCTGCGGTTGGTCCTCCCCAGCCTCTGGGCTCGGTGACTCGGGTGGGGCAGGAAGCTGGGGAAGGGGAAGCCAGGAGCTCTGGGAAAGTTGCTGGGGAGGCTGCCCTCCGCCCCAGCCCCCTCTGGGCCTGGAAATACCCGCTGCTGGGCTCCTGGCTCTTGCCTTCCAGGCAAAGGAAACCGCGCTGGTAGCCAGGGCAGGCCTCCCTCCTCTTATCGCCTCCTGGGCAGGACTCTGGAGCCCCAGGCATGGGTAGGAGGAGCATCTCCTGATGTGGGCTGAGAACCCACCATGGCCGTTCTCCCCTCTTGGGCCCACCGCCTCTGCAGGCCCAATTCACACCAGTTGCACTAGCTGTTCCGGGGCCTTTAGGGGAAGGCACAAGAGAGGCCACACGTGGACATCTCCCCCAGGGCTCATGATCTGTCACTCAGCGGACAGCCCTGCAAATCCATGCCCCTTCTGGATGACACTGAGGGAGGACGGTGGAGTCGCCCTGTGATTTCAGGCACATCCCTGAGTGTGGCTGAAGGAGAAGCGAGTGCTGGTGTGAGACCCACTCACGGCCCTGGCAGGAAGGCGGCTCTGACTCCTTCCAAACCTTCCTCTTCCTCAGAACTAGCGCTGAGGGCCAAGCCCCAAGCCCTGTGGCCAGAACGGGTCCACCAGGCTCCGCCCTCCCTGATGGAGACTGCTTGCGGCTCAGGGTCCCTCACAGTACAGGGGACCATCATACACCTCCGACCCCCCAAGGAGCCTTCATCTTCCTCTCGTGGCAGCCAGCGTCAGGCCTATGCTATGGGGGAACCCGCTCTGTCCCGCGGCTGGATGGGGGGAAACCCGGAGGAGCAGGCAGTTCCCGGGCGGGGTTGCAGCGCAAGGTGCACAGGGCCCCGCGGGGGGCGCCTCCTGTTGAGCGGGAATCCCGTCCCTAACCGCTGGGGAGGGGAGGGGCGAGGTGGTTCTGCGGCGGCATCTGTCCCAGGCTGGCGGGCGGGAGGGCGGGCAGGCGGGAAGCTGCTGCATTAAATTGTAAAATCGATTTATTGACCGGCAGGTGCGAGCGGCGGCAGATGGAGAGTAGCGCTGCCGGGGCGCATCTGCGGGGAGCGGCGGCATCGATCCCGGTCCCCCTCGGAAACCCGTGCGTCTGGGTCCTCTCTGCCCCTCTCGCTCCCAAGGGCAGGGCCAAGGTCCGAGAAGGCGCGGCGCCCGAGTGGCTGGGGCAGCTCCCCTGGCTGTCCCTAGCCGCGGCACGCCGCAGGGCCCGGCCGTGCCCCCGCGGCTGGCAGGCTGCGCCAGCCCCACTGCCCCAGTTGGCACTCGGCGGGGCCGGGCTGACGCGTGGCAGCACCCGGCGGCAGATGAGGCACGCGCCGGCCTCATTTCAATGTGAATGGAGCGAATGGAGCAGCCATGTGGCAGCAACAGTTTGCAAATCTCCCCCGCCTTCTGTGCAGCTCCGGGGCAGCCCGCTCCCCCTCACGTGGCCCCTTCTCCGCGGCGACCGCAGCGGCGCCCCTCTGGGCTTAAGCGCCCCGTTTCACCAGGCCTGGGCAGCGGCCGCACTGGCCGCCCCGCACCCACCCGCATCGCTGCTCCCGGGGCGCAGCGTGCCCAGTGGACAGAGGTGTCCTCCGGGAGGCCCCTGCAAGCCTCTCGGGCTGCTGCAGCCGCGCCGGAGTCCCCGGGCTCAGCGCCCGCTCCCGCTACACCCCGATAACCCGGGGTCAGCCTAAGGGCATGCCTGGAAGGCAACCTTAGCGGTTCCCTGCCCTGGTGTTGCCTCTCCCTATGGGGTGACTGGGGGTAGGGGAATACGGTACACAGCGGCTACCTGGAGGAACTAGCCAAGGGCCCTGTGGGGAAAGCCAGGCCTGACCAGTGCGCAGGACCCCGTTCCCGCTCTGGGCAGTGCGGAGGAACCGCGCGCGGAAGGTCTACAGGTGTGAGCCCCTCCCTCCCACTCACCCGCCTTCCCCAGTGCTGCCGAGCGTCTGCCCCAGGTGCAAGGCCAGTCCCACCGACTCCAGCGGCCTTGGATTACCTCCCAGGCTCCCGCTCCGGGCGCGCCCACAGGTGCGGGAAGGGAGGAGCCCGGCTGCCCGCCTGCCTGCCGCGAGCGAAGAAAAGAAACGCGGCCTGCGGGCTCGAGTTCCCCGCAGGCAGTGACCCTCTCCTGCCCAGCCCTCCCCCCCCATCTGGGGCTTGTACTCGCTGCCCAGGACCGGGATGCCCTCCGGGCCGGGTCACTAACAAAGCTTCCTAAACTTAGTCTTCTGGTGAGAAATCAACTCTTTCTTGGCCCCGCGGGGGACTTAGCAAGTCTCTAACTACCTCTGTACGTCGCCCATTCCCCCCCATCCCAACTTCTGTTCGAAGGGCGTCAATGTGTAAAGTGCTTTGGGGTAGTTATTCCCGGTGAGTGTGAGAAATGCCTCATGTGGGACGCGATGTCTGATGTCTCGGTAACGGAGTGGGGAGTGGGCCGACCAGCGTGTTTCCAAGAATCCTTAGGCTGGGGTCGGCGGAGGGAGCGGGCAGAGGCTGGTTCCATCTCGGAGTGGGGTACTCCGTGGCATCCCGGAGGGTCTAGGGATCCAGAGGGCGTCCACTTGGCAGGCTGGCCAAAGGCACGCCCCAGCTCCCCCTCCCTCGGGCCTGCCCATAACCTACATTAACTCTCAGCGCAGCCTGGGCCCATCTGCCGGCCCCCGCCCTACCTCGGTTCCCCACGCCAACCCGCTCACACCAGATGGTGGCTGGGAGGGGTGGCCGTGCGTGGGGGACCCCGGAGCCCGTCGCCTCACCTCGCCCCTCCCCCGGCCCACGCTCCAACCTCTTGTTTCCCATCCTTTCTCCTCCCAGTCCTTTACCACCGTCACCCAAGCCAAAAAAAAAAAAAAAAAATCATACCATGATCAGCATCGGCAGCTGTCAGGCTCCTCACCCCCCCCCCCAAACACACACAACGGCCTCCCCAGGGCCCGTGCCGCGTCCCCCTCCCCTGCTGCGCTGATCTTATCGCCCGACGACAGCCATCACCGCGCGGGCGGGCTGACAGCTGAAGCCGCAGGGCCCCGCCGCCCTCAGCGTCCCTGCGAGCGAGCGCTGCCCGGCACTCCCGAGACTGGGAGAAGCCGGTGCTCTGGAGATCACGCCCGGTTCCGGGAAGCAGCTGCGCCGCCGCAGCCGCCGCTCGGAGGAGTGGGGTCACCCGGGGGATACGCGCGAGCGAGAAGAGCGAACAAATCGACCCAAACTATAGCCACCACTCCTGCGCGCTTCCAGTTCCAGTCCACGGCCGCGTTATGGGGTGGGGACCTGCCTGGTCTCAGCCCCTCACCTGGACTCCCAGGCGCCCGAGCCAACCCTGCAACCGGGAGCGTCCCCTTCCTGCCCCAGCGGAGCGGCAGGACGCGGGCGGGGGGCTTGGAGTCGCCGGGGTGTGGAGGAGGGGAGGGACACGGTGGGCGCAGGGAGCAGAAGCGGGACCCAGGTGAAGGGAGGCACTGGAGGCGGGACCAGGGCCTGATTACCATACAGCTGAGGACGCGCCCCCTCCTTACCTCGGGGGCCCCGCCCCGCCTCCCCGCCCCCACCCCGGGGACCACGCGTCCGGGCGCTGGCACGCGCCAAGCGCGGGCGGGAGGCGCAGGGGAGCAGGCACGCGCTGGGCACGCCCCGCAGCCAGCGAGGAGACGCCCACCAGGTGCTGGGCAGGCGGCAGCGCCTCCGACGCGGGCCCCTTGGCTGGTGCCGAGCGGCTGCGGGGAGGCCGACACGTCCGCCTGTTCTGCGGGTGGTGGGCGCGTAGGCGCTCGTGCGTTGGAGGCCGGCGAGGCGAGGGCTGTCGCAAGCAAAGGAGATCGGAGTCGTCCCACCCTCCCTACCCCCACCCCGTCCCTGGCTTTCGCTGGCTGGACTTCAGTTCTTATCACCTGTGCTAGGACCGCAGGTAACTGCCTCCGGCTGCGGATGCGCCGCCCTCGGGGACTCCCTAGTGTCTCCGCCTCCAGGGCCAAACGCCGGGAACAGCTCCAACAGCTCGCTTCCCTCCCCGTTTCCCCTCCCCTCCACCCTCCCGATTTTGCCCTCCCCCCCCCCCCAGGGCAGGGTCTCTACCGGTAAAACGGTGGTCGCGGAGGACGGGTCCTCCCCCCTCCCGCAAAGCTCCCAGCTGGGCGGCCCAGGGGTTAGGAGCGACACCGAGGGGCGGGGACACCCCTGACTGGCAGGGAGGGGCGGTGGGGGCGGAGGCCCCCTCCGGGCGGCGCTGGGACTGTAGCAGCTCCGGACCGGGAGGGGAGGGGAGAGTGACCACGAGTCTGAGTGACAGGCGATGAGAAGGGGACGCCAATATATAAAGCTGGCTCCGGAGCGCGCAGGTTTCAGTAGCGGCGCTGCGCGCAGGCCACAAACATAGAGCCGGGAGCCGCAGCCCACGCCGCGGTGGAGCAGCGTCCCCCGGGCAGCAGCCCGCTCGCAGGCTCAGGATTAGCCCCGAGGACACATCCTTAGCGCGGCCGCCGCTCAGCCACCTCCACCTGGATTACCTACCGCAGCAGCTGCAAGCGGAGCTGGCCTGAAGGCGAGGAGCGGGGAGCAGCGCCCCGACAGGAGTCCGGCTTTTCGGGGACCCCCGCCAGCCCCCGAAAAAGGAGGGAAAGAGGCGTCCCGAATAGAACCAGATTCGGGGCCGACCCGCGGGGTGGAGAGAAGGACAGCGCAGGGGATGGCAGCCGCGTCCCGGAGCGCCTCGGGCTGGGCGCTGCTGCTGCTGCTGCTGGCTCTCGGGCAGCAGGTAACGCCCCGTGCCCTCTCGGCTCCTGCCCGCCGCGCTCCCGGCCCGGAGCTCCCCGGAGCCCGCCGCGCTGACCGCCCCCTGTCTCTCTCTCTCTCCTGCCCTCCGTCCCCCGGGCCACAGCGCGCAGCTGGCTCCGGCGTCTTCCAGCTGCAGCTGCGGGAGTTCGCCAACGAGCACGGCATGCTGGCCAGCGGGCGGCCGTGCGAGCCTGGCTGCCGGACGTTCTTCCGCGTCTGCCTGAAGCACTTCCAGGCGGTCTTCTCGCCCGGACCCTGCACCTTCGGCAGCGTGTCCACTCCGGTCCTGGGCACCAACTCCTTCGCGGTCCAGGACGACAGTAGCGGCGGGGGGCGCAACCCTCTCCAACTGCCCTTCAATTTCACCTGGCCGGTGAGCACCGCGTGGGTCCCGGGGGTGACCACGAACCCCAACCCCCCACCCCCGGGAGGGAGCACCCTGCCGCTAAAGCCCTCTCCCACCCCACCACTCCCACCCCCTAAAGGTCCTCAGAGGCGCACCCTCCCCTGTCCCTTTCCCACTCTCTCCTGGGACTTCATCCCTCAAAAGGCTCGCCCCAGTCTTCCACCCCACCCCACTCCAGCTCCTGGGACATGGTTTTCATTTCCTGTCACCCTGACGCCCCCCTCTCACCCTGCCTACAGCTCTCACTTACACCTGCCCCCGCCTCCACTCGGGGTTCTTTGCCTTCCCTGCGCACAGACCCGTTATGTTGACCGGGAGCAGTAACTGTATCCTCCAATTAGATTAATTAAACCGGCTGCCACAAGGCACCCCCACCTCTCTCCCCTCCCGGCTCATCTCGCTTTCTCTCTTCCCCCAACCCCCCCCCCCTTGCTCTTCCCAGGGAACCTTCTCGCTCATCATCGAGGCTTGGCACGCGCCTGGAGACGACCTGCGGCCAGGTGAGTGGCTCTCCCGGCCGCCACAGGGGGGCGACACGCGCAGCGCCGAAAGAGTTAAAGCTGCGGCCGGGGGCGGGGGGCAGGACGCGGGCCCGGGACTGCGCCCCGCGCTGGACGCTCCGATTCCGCCCGCTGCCTGGACTCGGAGCACAATTGCGTTTCCTGCGGGTTATTTTTGGCGTGGGAACGCGGGGAGCACGGCGGTGAGAAAGGCCAAAGCTGCCAGCGCCGCTGACGGGCCCCTTCCTGTATTTTACACCTTTTGCGAATTCCGCTCCTTTGGAAAGGGAATAATGGCTTTGGGATGTTGTTCTGACACAGAGGAAGAGGATATTTCAGCAGCACAACAATTCTCACTTTGAAAAGGAAAAAGAAGACCAGCACCCACCTCTGGGGGCAACCCCCCCATGGGGGCACCAAAGGATCCCCTGCTGGGGGAGCCCCCAGCCCGCAGACCTCTGTCTCCTCCCCCTTTTTTAAACTTTTATACTTTTTATTTTTTGGCTTTCCCACTCATTTTGATTTCTTTTCCTCTTTCCCCTCCCTGTCTGCTTCCAGAATGCAGGGATCTCTTCATATCCTTCTATTGTCCCCTTTTTGAATGACATCAGGCCCCCCTCCATCCACATGCTTGTACACACACACACGCACACATGCACACACGCAGAGCAACTATGCATTGGGCCGTTTCATTCCCTCTTGGATTGTGCTTGCTGGCTGGCAGGTAGATTCACCTGGGCTCCATCACTTCAGCGGAGAGGGGTCGTGGGGAGCAGCTGCTGGCAGCCCCAGGGCCTGGCTCCCCTAACCTGCCCCTCTGCCCTCCCAGAGGCCCTGCCCCCAGATGCCCTCATCAGCAAGATCATCATCCAGGGCTCCCTGACCGTGGGCCAGAATTGGTTACTGGATGAGCAGAGGAGTACCCTCACCAAGCTGCGCTACTCCTACCGGGTCATCTGCAGTGACCATTACTACGGGGACAACTGCTCTCGCCTGTGCAAGAAGCGCAATGACCACTTTGGCCACTACGTGTGCCAGCCCGACGGCAGCCTGTCTTGCCTGCCTGGATGGACTGGGGAGTACTGCGAACTACGTAAGCAAGTCAAGTGCCCCTCCTGCTGGGACAGGGAGGGTGCCCCCCAGCACACTATGGCCATGCCTCTGTCGCAGGGCTGGTCTACATGCGAGCAAGGCCTTAGGACACCAGGGAAAGCCGAACAGTGGGTTTGGATGCAGACCCCTCCCAGGGCCCCTGCCCGTTGTGGCAAGTGCACAGAGCCCTGGTATTGCCTCGCATCCTGTGTGGTGTCAGCTGCCCTGTGCTAGGATTTCCCTTTGAGCTATTCAGAGCTCTTCTGGGAGGCCAGGAGGGCTGTTCCCCACTTCCAACCTGGGAACTTCTTTAGCACCCCAAACTTATGCAGGCCTGCTTTCCTCCCTTAGCTATCTGCCTTTCTGGCTGCCACGAACAAAATGGCTACTGCACCAAGCCGGCAGAGTGCCTGTGAGTAGGGGCTCAGGGAGCGGGTTCTAAGGCACCTTCAGCAGCCAGCCGGGCCTCTCACCTCACTCTCAGCCCATCCCCTCTTCTGTTCCACAGCTGCCGCCCAGGCTGGCAGGGCCGCCTGTGTAATGAGTGTATCCCGCACAACGGCTGTCGCCACGGCACCTGCAGCATCCCCTGGCAGTGCACCTGCGACGAGGGCTGGGGCGGCCTGTTCTGTGACCAAGGTGAGCCTGGACTGAGAGGTGCAGAGGAGAGAGCAGAGACAGAGTGGGGTGAGGAGGGTGGAAGCCATGGCTGTTGCCTGAACCCAGCTTTCCCAAATGGGCCTCAGGCAGGACTGCAAGTCCTTGGGTGCTGGGAAGCTGGGATGGCGGGAGAAGTCAGGCTGTGATAGGCCGGCAGCCTGGAGGTTACGCTCATAAATCCTGGCCAAAGAGAGAAGGAGGTCAGGTTGAGTTCCTCTTTCTACCTGTGGTTACCTATTAACCCCCTAAGTGTTTGCTCACCTCCCAAGGCTGTTTGAGCAGCTCTCCCCTAAACAGCTGTCTGCTGGGGTGTGCCCACCGGCTGCCCTGGAACCTTCAGGGGGCCGGGCCTCTGGGCGGAGTGCTGGCTAACCAACGGGCACTGGGGGCACTAGCAGCCTGCCTTGCTCCTCAGCAGTGGTTCCTGCCACACAGTGGCCAAGCCCACACTGATTCTGCCTGCTTCTTGGGCGCGGGCCAGTTGCACAGGACTCTCTGAGTCCCAATCCTTGGTGGGGTAGTGGAGGAGAGCCAGCAGCAGCAGCAGGGGCCTCCCACCATTGGGGTCATGTGGTGTGGCCACCACAAGGAGAGATGCCTGAGACCTGGGTAGCGTGTGCAGCAGGGTTGTCAGGCTGGGAAGAGCTCACCCGGGTCTTCCCTTGCTGTCAGCCAGGGGTTTGGAATGTGGTCCCTCTGTTCCTCTGTGTGTGATTGTGTGAGACAGAGACCTTGTCCTTCACCCCTCCCCCAACACACAAACATGCACATGCGTGCACCTGGTTCCTGCTCATTCATTTTCCTCTCTCCAGTCATTTCCAGGTGACATGGTCATGTATTCATGATATGCAAACACAGCTCTACAGTCCCTGTGTTTGCTCTGTCTGGTTCCCTCTTTCTCTACTCTCCAAATAAGAAGACAAATACTCATATTTCAGAATGCACTTGTCACCCCTCTATCCTGAACAAAGGCCTGCTCACTGCCCAGGACAGCTGCCCTCTCCACGCCACCTTTAGCCTGAGTGGAGCGTTCACCCCTCTCTCCACCTTCCTCCTCTCAGCTGCCGCTCCCCAACCAAGCCCTTCTCACTTCCTCCCCAGCAGTGGCCATGGCCTTGCCCACCCCTGCTCTTTTGTACCTTTGACCTCCTCGGGCCCCCAGCATCTGGAAGCTCACCTGGCAGGATGCTGTCCAGTTGTGCATTTCCCATCTTGATGGGCTACCCTGGCCACATGCAGTTTAAGGTGCTTCAACACTCAGAATCTTGTTGCCAGAGAAGGAAGGCTGTGTGGGCCTGGAAGACTGAGTTGAAGCTTCTCTGAGTGAGCCAGCGCTGGGGGTGAACCGGCCTGGCAAGGAGCCTGGAGGAGGCAGCGCTCCCTGGCCCTGCTCAGCAGCTTGGTTCCTGTTTCTGCAGATCTCAACTATTGCACCCACCACTCCCCATGCAAGAATGGGGCCACCTGCTCCAACAGCGGGCAGCGGAGCTACACTTGCACCTGTCGCCCTGGCTACACTGGCGTGGACTGTGAGCTGAAGCTGAGCGAGTGTGACAGCAACCCCTGTCGCAATGGAGCTAGCTGTAAGGTGAGGCCTGGGAGAGATGTGGATGTGTAGCCATGGACAGGCAAATCCCTGTCATGCATCCCTGGCTCTGTCGGGTCTGACTCTGGCCCCTTTGTGGTTTCTTCAGGACCAGGAAGATGGCTACCACTGTGCATGCCCCCCAGGCTACTATGGCACGCACTGTGAGCACAGCACCCTGAGCTGTGCCGACTCCCCCTGCTTCAATGGGGGATCCTGCCATGAGCGCAGCCAGGGGACCAGCTACATCTGCGAATGCCCCCCCAACTTCACAGGCTCCAACTGTGAGAAGAAAATGGACAGGTGCACCAGCAACCCGTGTACCAATGGTGCGTCCTGTTGCTTTGCCAGCCCTGGAACCCAGTCTTGGGGCTGAGAGCAGGCTGGAGGGGCCTGGCTATTACACCAGGCTGTCTGAGAGGGACACCTGTCTGCTCTGGAGGGTGAAGAGGGGTGTTTTGGGTAGAGGGAGCAGCTGAGAGCAGTGACACACACTCCTCTCAACCCAGTGTCAGGACTCTAGGTCTGTTGGGGTGACCTTGGACCTGAGCCAGGCAGTCCTGGGGCAGGGGATGTGGTCAGAGCCATACTCCTGCAGGCTGCATCTTGCCCCATGTGCAGCACAGCATGACAAGGCTTCTAGAATGTTAGGCTGCCTTTGGGATACAACAAAGCATGTTGGTAATCCCTGTGCACCTGGCCCACAATGACCATCAGCAAGGCAGGTTGACAGCAGTGAGGGCACAGGGGAGCTCGGGAACCAGAGAAGGTTTGGGAGAGCTGAGATGAAGGCTGAAGTGTCACTCTACTCCCTGGGGTCACCGTCCCTTCACCGGCCCACTGTCTGTAGTCCTTGGAGTAGCTGTGAAGGCAGAATGAGGCAGTGGGTGTCCCATGAACTTGAGCATTTGCTGTCTGCCAAGCATGAGCAATAGTCACAGGGCACCTTGCTACCTGCCCCTCTCAGAAGTAGCCTGTGAAGGGCACAGCCTTCTGCTCCAACAGAACAACAAGGAAGCTGAAGCTTAGAGATAAGGCAGAGTGACAGGTGCAGCTAGGCCGGGTCCCCCAGCCAGAGACAACTGAGCTCCAAACCCTAGCAAGCTTGGCTGAGCCAAAAGTTCTGTGAAATGCTAGCATCTTCTGTGTGTGAGCCCATGGAGGTGGAAAGCATTCCAGCCTCCCTGAACTCTGGCCCTCCTGCCTGTCTGTGCAGTTGTGAGTACAGTAGACTCCATCTGTGCTGGCTGTGTTCACGGAGGCAGGAGGACCCTCTGCACCAGGGACCTTCAGACAGTTTTGTTGACCTACGTCCTGTGTGTCCCCACAGGGGGCCAGTGCCTGAACCGAGGCCTGAGCCAGACGTGCCGCTGCCGTCCTGGATTCACAGGCCCCCGCTGTGAGCTCCACGTCCGCGACTGTGCCCGCAGCCCTTGCGCCCATGGTGGAACTTGCCATGACCTGGAGAATGGATTTGTGTGCACCTGCCCTGCCGGCTTCTCTGGGCGACGCTGCGAGGTGGCACCAATGCCCGGTGATGCCTGCGCCTCTGGGCCTTGCTTCAACGGGGCCACCTGCTACGCTGGCCTCTCCCCGGACAGCTTCGTCTGCAACTGCCCCTATGGCTTCGTGGGTGGCCGCTGCGAGTTCCCTGTGGGCCTGCCGCCCAGCTTCCCCTGGGTGGCCGTCTCCCTGGGCGTGGGGCTGGTTGTGGTCCTGGTGCTGCTGGCCATGGTGGCGGTGGCTGTGCGGCAATTGCGGCTCCGGCAGCCTGAGGATGGTGGCAGGGAGGCCATGAACAACCTGTCAGACTTCCAGAAGGACAACCTGATCCCTGCCACCCAGCTCAAGAACACAAACCAGAAGAAGGAGCTGGAAGTGGACTGTGGCCTGGACAAGTCCAACTGTGGCAAACAGCAGAACCACACATTGGACTATAATCTGGCCCCTGGGCCTCTGGGCCGGGGGACCCTGCCGGGAAAGTACCTCCACAGTGACAAGAGCTTAGGAGAGAAGGTGCCGCTGCGGTTACACAGGTGAGCTGCACCTGAGGGCACAGGGCCCTGACTCAGTCCTTTGGGGGCTTCTGCTCCAAGGCCCTTGTGACTGCCAGCACCAGAGTTCTGCTGGGGCGCCTCTGCCCTCACTTCCCATTCACTGTGTAGTCACAAATGTTGCAGCAATGGACTTTCCCCCCACCCCCCCCCCAGCCTGAGATTTAAGGCTGGAGAGATCTATGATTCCCCTACTCCCCGTCCCTCCCAGCCCCCACCACCTTCCCCAGCACCTTCTCTTCCAGTAAGAGCCCTGCCCTGCCGCTGTGCGAGGTCCAGGCTGGCCCCCTCCCCGAGCCGCTCCCCAGCCTGCTCGGGCTCAGCACCTGTCTTGTATTCCCTCAGTGAAAAGCCCGAGTGTCGGATATCTGCGATATGCTCCCCCAGGGAGTCCATGTACCAGTCTGTGTGTTTGATATCAGAAGAGAGGAACGAGTGTGTCATTGCCACAGAGGTGAGTGCTGGCCCCACTGTGCCCTCCTGCCTTTCAGGTGGGGGTATGGCCCAGTCCCTCTGGATCTTGTGGGCTGCTCCTTCAGGCTGGGGCACGGCCCCTCCCAGGGCAAGCTTTTGGGTCCCTGCTGGCCAGGCTACCACCAAGGGAGGGGTTGAAACAGGAGACAGATGCTACCACGGTCCGCCTGGTCTCTCCCGCCGTGTTGGCGGAGAGTTGGGCAGCTGTGGTGCTGGGGGACCAGTTCTTAGAAGCTGCTTCCCAAGTGTTGGGAACCAAGGTGGTTGCCTGGGGCCCTCCCAGCCCTTCCCCAGCATGTGGGAGGTATGTCGGGGTGGGAGCGTGGGCTCCACCCCTGGCAGCCCTGGCTCAGGCCCGCCTCCCATGTGTTCCACAGGTATAAGATGGGGCCTCCCCAGGTCAGCCTGGCATCGCCCAGCAGCTGGACCTTCCTGCTGCATTGTTTACATTGCATCCTGAATGGGGCGTCTTCCATATGCAACATGCTGCTCTCAGAGGAGGGAGGACGGCGGGAACTGGACAGACTGTGAACTGGCCAAGCGATGCAACTCCCCTGCACACCTTGGGGCATCCGCCTGGCATCAGATGGGCAGCTGCGCCAGCCAAGGCAACAGAGGAGAGGAGAGGCGCCCTTCGAACCTGCCCTGCCAGCAGTGGAGCCACATATGGCTCCTTGGGACCCTCAGGGATCCTCAGGCAGAGGGGCACTCCGGCCTGTTTTTCCAGAGTGGCAGTGGTTCTGTGGGCCTCCACTGACATCAGTGTTTCCAAAAGTGCCTTCGGCCCAGGCTCCGTGGAGATGGCCGGGCCAAAATCTGAAGGGAGATGGGACTAGGCAGGCAGGGCAGGGCCTGCTGGCGGACTGACAACAGGCCATCGGGGATGGCTTTTGGCAGGAGTTGGGTAGTGGCCCTGAAGATGAGGCAAAAGGTGCACTTTCCATGGCCCCTGCCCTCCACCACTGTGTGTGGGCCTTTCTCATCCCTCTCCCTGGCACGCCTCCCCTGAGCAAAAACGTGGGTAAGTCTTACCTGGCTCCCACTGCCTGCTGGCCCTGGCTGCCTCTGGGCAGAGGACCTGGTCCTTGGGCCCAGTTTGGCCACCAGGCCTACCAGAGATGCTCCGGGAACTGGTGGTTGGAATTCCACTGGGGGAAGAGACTGGGTGCTGAGATCCTTGCCTGCAACCTGGAGCCCGGGCTCTGACCGTGCCCACTACTGCCCTGCCCCACCCCCACCCTGGAAGCCGATCTTCAGAAATCAATAATATGAGTTTTTATTTTATTATTTTTTTTGTAGTTTATTTTGGAGTCTAGTATTTCGGTAATTTAAGAATCAGAAGCACTGACCTTTCTACATTTTATAACGTTATTTTGTATATCATGTGTATTTATAACATGGAAGAGATGTGTACAGGAGCTTATGCCTGCTTGGGTTCTGTCTTTGGGATGGCAGAGTGGGACGGGACCCTGTGCTTCCCTTCTGAGCCCAGGGGATGCCTCGTGCTGCTGGCCTGGACCCAGCTGAGGCCCTGGCACCTCTGTGTGCAGGTGGGCCTGGCTGGTCGCATCCAGGGTCCCTGTTTCCTCCTGGTTCCTTGGCTCACCTCACTAGTGTCCGACCTCGGCCAGTCTTCCTTGCCTTCTGGCTTTGGGCCTGGTCTGTCGGCTCTCATTGTCCTCCCTGGACCTGCACCCCTCTTCCCTTGCCAGAAGGTATCCTTAGTCCTGCCCGTTATTGCTTCATAAAAAGGATTCTCTTGTCAGATGCCCAGAGCTCTGCCCAGCCAACTCTGCTCCTCCTCCTGCCTACCTAGGGGTGGAGAAGGACAGGGCCCCTGTTCCTTCTGCACTCGGCTGGATATGGGTCCCAGGAGGCTGAGGCAGGAGATAGGGTGGCCTTGGATTTGTCCTTGCTGGTGGCAGCAGCAGCAGCTGTTTATGAATGGCTGCAGGGACTGGGAGGTGCAAGGCCGGGTCTCTGGCTGGGGTGCTAGAGAGGGAGTTTCCAGTTTCCAGTTCATGCTTGGCTTCCTCCAAAGCATAGGACACTCCCTAGGGTGCCACAGCACAGACCTCTTGCTACAGTCACAAAAAACCTTCCATGAAGAGCACACAACAGCCCCTGAAAGAAAAAAAAAAAAAAAAAAGCCATTGACACAAAAGTTGTGTAGACGCTACCAGCTCCACAGGGCTGCCTACCGGCCATGGGGCAGTCCTTGAGGCCAGGCGCCTGCACCTGCGCGCTCAGGTCAGTGAGCCAGGCGTGCACACCCCACGTCCCACTCAGCGCTCCCTGCTCCCTGCGCTGCGCACACAGGGTATCAAACAGGAAAGCATTCAGGGAACCGTTCCCACAGCCTGAGCCGGCAGCAGGGGGAAGAACAACACGACCTCACTCTTCCTGCCCAAAATGAAACAGGAAAGCAGCTCCCGGGCCCTGGGGGGCGGGGGAAACTGGGCTGGGACACAAGGCGATTTGACGAGGCTCCCATGTGGGGGCCAGGTAGGACACCCGCGGGCCTGCACGTCCACACCACGGGACTGTGCAGGGCCGCACGGGCCACTGGCCATGGTGGCAGGCCCCGGAAGGAGGGCTCGCTGCCAAAAGAGCTTTCTAGGGAATGTGGGGCCAAGTGCGTGGGCTCCATGGGTGGCCTGAGCACTCCAATCTGGTGCCTCTACTTTACACACAGAGAAGGAGCTGGGCCAGGCACCTGGGGTGTGAACAGGCCACAGCCCTGGGTTTCCTAGGATTTCCGGTGGGTCACCTCCCGACCTCCCCTGACTTCTCTGTGTGAGGTTCCCAAGACCTTTCTGACTCCTAGAGTGTCCAGAGATGCAGGAGGTAGCAGAGGCTGGGCAGGTGCATCCAGGACCAGGTACATCCAGGTCCAGGAGGCTTACTGTGAAGTACTGGCCCAAAGGTTAGCAAATGCCCAAATGCCAGGCGTTAATTTGCATGGCATTTTACAAGAATATTCAGAGCTGATCAGTTCCTTAAGGGCCTGGAGCCAGTGCCCGTCTGGAGAAAAATCTGACCCCACAGTGACCTCCAGCCATAAGGCCAGCTGCTCTTCCAGGGCTCTGGGCCCATCGGTAACCACCTGTAGAGTTGGTCTGGGAGGGGCTGGGAGGGAGGGAGCACAGCCTAGCTCTGCTGGGACCTGGGCCCCTTGTCCATCCTGCCTGTCCAGCAGCGGACCCTGAAGCCCGTACCCCCTTCACCCCCTCCACCCCCAGCCTCTGGCCCTGGGTCTGCAAGATCTGCCGACCCAGCCCTCCGCCCCACGTGGCCAGCTGCATTCCGGGAAGGAGATGGGAGTGATTCACTCAGGGAAACTGTGACTGTCCCTTCCCGGGGAAGGGATGCTCCTGGGAGGTCCCAGTGGCCTTCCCCAGGCCACCACGCCCTCCCCCTCACCCAGGGCGCACAGCCCAGCCCTACGGCCCGGCGGGATCCGGCGGGATCCGGTGGGATCCGGGCGTCCCCCACCCCGCTGTCCCCCGCGAGCGGCGGCGGCCGGAAGAGGCAGGTGCGCCCGCTGGCCGGGGTCAGGCCTCCACCTGCCGCAGCCGCCGCCGCGGCGGGGCATCCGAGAGGTCCCGCGGCTCCCCGCCCCCGCGCCCTTTGTTACCGCCCTACTTCCTGTTTGCGGCCGCCGACCCCGGCTCACTTCCCGGGCCGGGAAGCCGCCGAAGGCCGCGGGTTTCTCAGAGACTGCCCCCCTGCCGGGCTCCGCCTCCCGCGGCCGCGGATCCCGCCTCCGGCTCCCGAGCCCGCTCCGAGCGGCGGCCGCGGACAGCGGAGGCTGCGGGAAGGCCGCGCGGGCCCCGCTGCCCGGCACTAGGGGGCGCCGCGCGCCGTCGGGGCTGCCGTCTAGCAAGGCCCTGGGGTCCGCAAGGCGCCCGGCGAGGGGCTGAACCGGGGCGCTCGGACGCCTCAGTTAAGTTTGCGTCCTTGTCGGACAGACCTCTCTCCAGGCGCTGCGCCTTGGGCCGAGGGATCCCAGCACGATGCCCCCCGCCCCCGCCGCCCATAACGTCGGGGAGTGCTGAGGCGCTGGGCCCTGCTGCCTGCTCCGGCTCTCACAGTGGCCCGATTGGGGCGCATGGTGGGCCAGTCCTTCTGTGGCAGCCAATCGGGGGCTGTAGGTAGAGGGACTGGGGAAAAGATGCAGGCGTGCAATTTGGAGCCTGAAGCTCCCATTGCCTGCCTGCCCACCCACTGTGGCCACATCCACCCACGTCTTCTTCATTCCTTCAGCACCCAGCAAGATCTGCCAGACAATGGCTGCCGCAGCACGTGGTGGCCGCAAGCAACTGCTGTGGCTAAAGCTGGAGTCCCATGCCCTCCCAGCAGGAACCGAGGAAGGACCTCAGGAGCGCACTGTGAGCCCTGCCTGAGGCCGCTGTTGGGCAGGGCCCCTAGGCTGTCGCTGGGAGACCATTCCAGAGGCTGACGCCCCTTCCAGCTAGACTCCAGGGTGCTGGTGGGACCTCTGGCCACCACGATGTGTCAAAGATAGCAGCCCCACCCTTCATTGCAGCAGCCAATCAGTTCTTCCTGCTGGCGGACTGCAGCTGGTGTCCTCTAATTCAGCTTAATGCTGATGCAATGCTCCTGTAGATGGGCTCAGCTCCCGCAGGTGGAAGGGTCAGCCCCACAACCTGACCTCAGGCCCAGGGCCAGCCGCACGCACACTCGGACCGTTTCACAAGTGCCGCCGACCAGAGGTTCCACGGCGCCTTACCCACGACCCTCCAGGTGAATACGGTTTGCCCCAGTGGCTCACGGAGCTTGGGGCTCCGCAACTTCTCTTAGCTGAAGCTGACATCTCACCGAGGACCCCAGTGGTGGAGCGCCTGCGGGAAATGGAATGGAGGAGGGCGTGGCCTACTGTGCCCCCTCCCAGCGGTGACTGACGCAGACGTGGGCTCTTCGTTATCAACAAACTTCTGTGTCTCTTAGCTCCCCAGAGGAGGACACAAGGACACCTGTCCGGATGTTTCTGGTGACTTGCTCCAACCAGAAGCTACTTAAGGGCTGCCGACCACCAGTCATCTCATTAGCATATAAAAGGACATCTGTTATCTTGGGGAGTCCCAGGGTTTTAGGAGTGTGTCCCAGGAAGGGGATGGAGATCCAGTGTGTCTGTTGCAGTGTCAAAGAGTCAAGTGGCAGTGTCTCAGGCATCTGAGTGTAGCAACAGGTGGGCTGCGGCCACAGGTGTGCTCTGAGACTGGGTAGCCGCTGAGGGCCAGGCCTGAACTGCCTGTCTGTCCCCCAGTGACCCCTGTACCTGGCAGGGCTGAGGGTTAGTTGCTCTGAGGATTACTGTTCTATGTACACAGTGGCGTTTCTGGCCAGGTTTCCCCACCCAAGCTGGGTGTGTTCCATTCCACTTGTCCCCACCAATTCCCATCCCTTGGCACTTGCCCCTCAGCCT